TTATGATATTAAGCACTCTAAACAAAGTAAACCCTTTTCATCCATCAAATATGAAGCCTATTAAACTTAAGAATTTGTTAGGCTTATTTCTCTTCATGCCTTATTTTCCTCCTGTATTTCTTAAGATTGTTAATGTAAAGCTATCATCCAATACATTTCTGAATTCCTGAGTCATGTTATTCCTATTCATGAACCTCACTTGTAACACATACCATCAAGTTTTGATGTTTCTTCCTTTCAATGAGTAATTGAGTCACTCATCATTATTTAAGTTTCTCCTCTACAGTCAATTGTTAGTACCTCCCAATTTCTCTGCTCTCTTTTTTGAACTCTGTCTCCTCAATTTATTACAGAATGAACCTTCGTGATTGACTGCTTGAACAGAAAAAAAGATGTGACACTATTTACCTTTCCACATCAAGAACAGAGCACTCTGGTTACAATCTTACAATACATTCGATAGAATTACTAAGGGGCTGGGCTTGGTTGTGCACACCGTGATCCCAGCAGCTCAGGAGGCTGAGACAGAAGGATCTTGAGTTCAAAGCCACTATGCAACTCAGTGAGACCCTTTCTCTAAAAAAAAAACACTAAAAAGAGCTGGGGATGTATCGACTCAGGGGTTTCAGCACCCTTGGGTTCAATCCCCAGTACCATAAATGAATGAATGAATGAATGAATGAATGAATAAATAAGGCACCTAAATTTCAATATGTACTTCTGCACTGATTACACTCCTTTGTGAGTCTCCTTTTTGCACTTCAAAACAGAGCTGAAAAGTTAGTCAAACTTCTCTAGGCAGCAAGCTGCTCTTCTGAAATAGCTGCCTCCTGCAATACTTCATTATTCTTTTGTCATAATTTTCTTTTATACAATACTTAGAATTATTATTTAAAAAGGATAAAAACAACACAATAAGAAAAAAACACTACTGATAAAAAGAAAAATCTTACTGAAATTAAATATGAATTTCTAACCAATGACACCAAAAAACTTCATCTCTTTTCCCTTAGGTTTTTACAACAAAACTTTGTATATAGCAACTGCATCTAATGATCTGACTTACCAAATTAGAAGGAGGAAACCAAAAGGCAGAAACATTCTGTACAGATAAACACAAACTAACCATCTGGTATTTACTTTTTTTGCACTAACAGATAAAATATACATGAAAAATTTTTTAAATGTGCTAAGTTCAAAAATACCTGTAGGCTTTCTCAAGTGAAATTAAAATAAAAAATTACCATGAAATGGCGTTTTTTAAACATTTACTGATAATATTAATAAGTCCATGGTTTTAAAAGAATTTTTTTCTTTCTCTTTATATATCTATTATATCTCTAAAATAAAAATACACAGGAGAAATAAAGCAAATAATTACCGCTGGCATATAGAAAACTGGGACTTTTAATTCTTTTCTGTATTCCTGCTAAATATATATATTGAACACTTCATACTACTTGTGAAATGTCTTTGCATCCTAAATCTCAGCTTGATGTCAATGATCTGTGAAATGAAACCTTGTCGAATTCCTGCCACACAATGGAATAATAGTCTTAACACAGCTTTTCATTGCTAGGTATTCCTGATGTGTTTTAATAGACTCGCTACTTTGGATAAAGTATAGTTCATGGACTGAAACAAATTAGGGAACATGAAAAAATGAAACAATAATATATACATAAATAAGAGTTTAAAACAATTTAACCTCAACAAATACTTGGTGTTTCTTACCATTTGTTTTAGCATAAATCAATTTACCTGCAACAAATACTTGGTATTTCTTACCATTTGTTTTAGCACAAATGTATTTTCATAGACAAACTTTAAAAAAAATAAAGGCTAAATAAGGCTATGCCTTTATTATTTAATAAAGAGGAAAACTGACATGTTCATATATATTTCATTTTCTCACTTAAGGCTCCTCTTATACACAAAAAACACTAACTTTTACCATATTAAAGTTGGAGTCTAGAAATATAGTACTGTTTAAACAAGATTAAAAAATATGAGAAATGTATATTCAAATGTAGTTATGTCCAATTCCAATCTATGAAAAAACTAAAGCAAAAAAATACTCATCATCACAGTTTTTTAGAGAACATTCCATTGTATATTGGGAAAATTACTTTATGTACTTATTTATCATGTTCAGTAAATTTAACATTGGCATAAAACCTTTTACTAATATTTCATACACATTCGATTTTTGTCAGTTTATCCAATAATATCCTCTGCGACTTTATATTTTAAAGTTTTTTTTATATACCTTTTTTAAAATTTATATTTATGTGGTGCTGAGGATTTAACCCAGTGCCTGGCATGTACTAAGCGAGTGCTCTACTGCTGAGCCACAGCCCTAGCCCCTGTGACTTTATTTTTATTTTAAATTTCTATTATAGAATCTAGTCCAGAATAACATATTAAGTTGTTAGGTGTCTTTAGCCTCCTCTACCGTGGAACAATTCTCTCTCTTTTTTTTTTTCTCTTAAATCAATGCCTTTTAATTACACAGAACAATGGATTTCATTAGTATATGCAAATATACTATGAAATATAATACAAATATTAGTATATGCAAATATCATATCTACTCCCCTAACTGTGATCCTCCTAATGCCCTTCTCTTCTCCCTGTTATTTCATGTTGACTTTTTCTTTCCCTTAGATTCCAAATGAGGGAACACATGCCATTTCGTTCTGAATATTAGTCTATTGTGCATATACTGACAGACATCTGGGGTGAGTCCATGACTTGGCTATTTTGAATTATACAGTTATCTCTATAGAGTATTCTGACTTTAATTCTTTTGGGCAGATACCCAGTAGTAGAATAGCTAGATCATATGGTAGTTAATTCTTTTGGGCAGATACCCAGTAGTAGAATAGCTAGATCATATGGTAGTTCTAGATATTTTTGGAACCACCATGTTGATTTACATAGTGACTATACTAATTTACATTCACACCATGCACAGGGGTTTCTTTTCCCCTTTATTCTCACCAGTCTTATTATTTTGTATATTCTTGATGACAGCAAGAATCTCAATATAGTTTTGTATTTTCCTGATAGCTAAAGAAATCAAGTATTTTTTCCATATATTTAAAGGTCATTTGTACTTTTTTCTTTTGAAAGTGTCTGTTCAGTTCATTTGCTCAATCATTGATAGGATTATTACTTTTTTTGGTGTTCCTTATGGCCTTGCTAATTTCCTGAGGCTGATCCTAAATTTATGATCCTCCTGCTTCAGCCTCCGGAGTTGCCTGGATTAGAGGCATTAGCCACTACACTCAGTTAGCTATTAAAGTCATATTCAGAAAGCTGTTGTCTTGCTTATGTCTTTAAGGATTTTTCCTGTTTTCTTTGAGAAGTTTCAAAGTTCTGGGACTTACATTTTAGGTGTTGATCCATTTGGAGTTGTTTTTGTGAGAGGGATCTAGTTTCAATTCCCTATATACAGCTGACTTTTTGTCAGTGTATGTTTTTGGTACCTCTGTTAAGAATAATATACCTATAGCTGTATGAGGTTTATTTCTATGCTCTCTATTCCATTGGAATAAACTTCTGTTTTTATGCCATTACCATTCTGTTTTAAGTACTGTTTGAAATCAGGTATTATGATGCCTCTAGCCTCACTCCTTTTGATCAGGATTGTTTTGGCTGGCTATTCATTGTCTCCTTTGCTTTCATATGAATTTTAGGTTTCTACTTTTTAGTTTCATCATGGAAGTTTCTCAATTTTGATATCCTATGTGCACAGGTAATTCAAACAAGGCATCAGCTGTAGATATACCTAATTCTCTGTGTGCATCTAAGTATGGAAATTAAGATGGGAAAAATTAAAATTTTGAGAAATTACACAGAGGAAAAAGATGATTATGTTTTCTAGATGAATTTCAGAAACACAACATTTAGCTTCCAGAGGATAAACTGGACATTTAGAATCTCCTCAAACTTCATTTCTAAAGTTCAATCTTAAAACAGTATTTTTTTCATTATCCTGTAAAGTACATGATTAGAAGGGTTCAATAAATCTTTCTCTGCAAAAACTTAAACATTTCGAATACTTCAGTAATACTGCGATTGGGCTAGGGTTGTGGCTCAGTGGTAGAGCACTTGCCTAGCATGTGTGAGGCACTGGGTTCATTTCTCAGCACTGCATATAAACAAATAAATAAAAGTCCATCAACAACTAAAAAAATTTTTAAAAAAGTAACACTGTGATTGATAGTTCAGGCTACATTTTTTTTTTAAGATGATGACCATGGATTGAATCTCTGAAACCATGAGCCAAAATAAACTTTTCCTCCTTTAAATTATTCTTTTTTTTTTAAATTTTATTTTTTTTATTGGTTGTTCACAACATTACAAAGCTCTTGACATACCATATTTCATACATTAGATTGAAGTGGGTTATGAACAGGCTATATTTCTTACAAATATATGGAATATTCTTCTGGTCATCTATACCTTGTTTGGTGCTAAAGAAAAAAAACAACAAATATGTATTTATGCATACTATCTGCAACCTAGTAAAATTCTGAATGAAAAAGATGAAAGGAAAAAAAGGAAATTAAACCAAATAGTCTTTTATGAGTACTAAATATTTTATGTGTGCTATTTCACTTAATGCATACAGAACATAGAAGATAACTGCTTATTTTTTATGCTATTTATGTCACAGGGATCCTGCAGTGAAAACCACATAAACAAACTAAATATCTAGCCAGTAGTAGTCAAGGCAGAATAAAATCAATACTTTTGATTCAAGTCAGTTGAAAAAAGAAGAAGAAAAAAGAAAATTAGTTTGTTAATGATTCAGCATAACAATAAAATTACACTGTAATAGGAAATTAGCAAAGGAATTAGAAAGCTAATCATAAAGTTTAAAATTTAATATCTTTTAAAAGTCTTGATATTTACTGCCAGAAATAAAATCAACTTGACAGTATGCAGCTTTGTTTTGCCCTTTTCAATTCATCAGTTGTATTAAAGGATACTCAGTACCAGAATAATGTGCGACTCTGCCACGAATTGAGCCTGGCTGCTCCCATGAATGTAGCTCTATGAAACAAGAAAAAGAAACAAAATTAACAATCTGGGAAAAAGACATAATTACTTTAGAGTTTCATGTCATGAAGATAAACAATATAAACACCCACTAATGAAGTTCTTATTTATAATTCTTTTGAATAAAATAATTCTTAATTAACTTGAAATAGATGAAAATGTTGGTTGATATTACTAAAAACCATAGACAGAAATTTAAGAAAGAGTAAATTTACATATAAATGTAAAGTTGTTAAAAGATTTATCACAAACACAGACACAAATTTACTTGATGACATAAGATTACAAGTTATAGTAAATAAAATTGCTGATTTTTCATCATTTAAGTAAGTTTCAAAAATTGTCAAATTACTCTTTTCCAGTTTACTAAAGTTTTTACAATAAGGAGTTAGCTTCATAAAATGCACATATTTCAAGATAGCATTTCATTTTTTCAAAGTACAATTATTGAAACTGAATTTTTCCTATTTCAAAATACATAATTTAGTTCTACACTTAGGAAGAATTTTACATATATGTATTTAATACCACTTAATTACAGAAAAACTGACACACACAAATCTCCATTTAGAATTTTTTGCTTTTAAACTAATTACCCAAATATTTCTGCCATTAAATTTTTCCAATGATAATTAGTTGCTTTAATTATAGTTTTAAACAAAATTATTTTGAAACAAAAGTACTTTTCTAGGTTTTTAACTTATAAAACATTACTGGAGAAAAATAGAACACCTTACAACATAAATCAACATCCTCAAGTTTTACATCACTTGCACTGCCTCACTGTGTCATTTCAACATTTCTTTTACTCAATATTTTCCTTCATTTTATTCATAACAATAACTGACTGGAACTAAGTGTGTTTTAATGAGAAGAGTATTTAAACTGGAGACAGAAAATTATTCTTCCAGCACTTAACCCTGGACAAGACAACAAATCACTCATAAATTTTGTATTCTTTCATCAATTAAATCAAGAACTGAGATGATTCCTGTGGTCTTTTGAAGGAAAGTCTGAGTTTTGTCATCAAAGCTATCTCATTATTTTTATGTAAAATCTATTGTTTGTTTATTGATTGAAACCATCCTTCGTTTTCATTTTTAATTTTTCCAACAATTAAATCATTTCCTCCTTTGTAGATGTGTTCAGATATTTTTAAGCACAGTTTTAGGCAAAATGGCTAAGAGCCATTTCTGATTCACTCATGTAACTTCGAAAGAATCCTATCATACATATTTCTTCTTCTGACTCTATCCATTTAGATTTTCCAAGTGATGACCAATGTAACTTAAAAAAGACAAACTAGCTGCTAACTAACCACGTAAGAGTTTTAATATTACTAATGGAAGACAACAATAAAATTATTAAGAAAAACAAACATGCAACAAAAGATATACAAACAGTATAAATTATACTTGATATCAAGTATGATTAGAAGCTCAGAGTTTAAGAACTAAGACTAAGGTTTTATTCTTGGAATAACTATAATAGCAAGGATAATGAATAGACCCATAAGTATAAATAATAATAGCAGCTACCATTTATGGAGCACTCATTTTGTCTAAGAACTTTGCATGAAATATCTAATTTAATTCTAGTTACCATATAGGGTAGGTAATTTGATCACATCAATTTTAGAGATAAGCTAACAAAGGTTTAAGAGAGTCAAGAAGGTTCCCCTGATTTTCACATATAGTATATGTAAGCTCTGGGGTGGAACTTAGGTCTCTATGACTCATAATCTCAGCTCATATTTACTATATTATTTTATTATTTGCTAAATATTTCATTAGAAACTTCACATATGTTCTCATCGTATCTACTATGTTTTAAAATAGTTATTACCTGTTCCAACAAGAAAATAGATTAGAAGAAATATAACTCCTTGCAAACAATGGTACAACTAATAATTAGTGAAGTTTGGCATGAAAGCTGGGTCTGTCTACACAGGTCATACCCTTTTTGCCCTCTGAAAACCAAGAACACAACAAACATGAAGAAGAATAATATTAAAGCTTTCCTGGCATTCAGATAATAAAATGTTGACAAATAAAGGAGTTAAAATTATTTATATAATTAAAATATCTAGATTTAATAGTACAGGATAATAAAACTGCAAGATACTTCACTTATCTTAGAATTAAAAATTTAGAGAAGAACTGAGACTTTTTTAAGTGAATGGTTTCACACTTTACTGTTTTAAGAAAGAAGATATTCTCTGATCATGCTTTTGTCAAGGTAATCAATGGATTTCCAAATTGCCTAATTTGATAACCATTTCTCAATTTTATTTGACATACTCTATCTGAAAAGTTGGTCACATCTGACTACTTCCTCCTTTTTGTTCATATCTTCACATGTCTTCAATGGATACCACTCTTGCTTCTCCCACTTCACTGGCTCCTCTTCCTCAGTCCCTGTGGCTATTCCCTTCCTAATTCTCTGGAGTCTCAGAATTCCACTTAAGGCTTTTCTCTATAATCACTCTTCCCTCATATTCTCACCCAATCTCATGGCTGTAATTTATCAAGTCTATATGGATGATTATCACATTTATATCCAGGGTGATATACACCCATTTTTATTTGTTAGTTTTATGGTCTTTACCTTGAAGTCTAAACCTTAAAATGGCCACATAAACTTTGGTCTGTCTTCATATCTATCCCAGAATGGGTTCTCTCTGCTATTTCAGGAAACATCAATGTGATTTTTCCAGTTGTTTAGGTCAAAATCTTGGAATTATCCTTGTCTCCCATCTCTCCCCTTTCTTCTTTCCTCCCTCCCCATAATCCAATCATTCAGAAAATAGTGTTGCCCCCACTTCACAGTTCATTCCAAATTCAACACTTCTTGCCATTTCTAGGAAAAAGTGTCAAAGAAGCCTATGGAATAAAGCCCAAACTATCATCATCTCTTGCTTCAACTATTGCAAAGCCTTCTTTGTTATTCTGTCTCTACCCTATATTTTGTCTGCCAAATTAGCAGTTTAAAAGAAAGCAAATTCTATCATTACTTTGCTCAAAACCCTTGAATGCTTTTTTCACATTTGAGAATACCACTTTATCATGTAATGCACAATAAAGCAGAACTTACACAAACTTTTTTTCCAATTGAAAAGGTTAGCTAGGTTAAAAAAAATCATACTTGGTCCTCAGAGGCTTATCTCACTAAGGATTTATTATTTCACCAAAACTCATCTATTACTCTTATAGCTTATTTCTTTTATGTATAAGACTGTAGCAAGGAGCAGCTTTGGAGAATCCTCAATTTGCCATTTACTACATGTGTCACCTAGACAAATAATTTAACCTCAATTATCTCATCTTTTTTATTTTTTGATTGATTTTATTTTTTAATTATCTCATCTTTAAAAAGATAAGAGAATATTTCTCAAAGTACTAAAAATTAAATAAGATGTCTTATCATGTTATTAGTATAGTACCTGGCACTCCCTATAGTAAATAATCAAAAGTAATTAAGCATGTAACACTTAAATAAACTCTATTTTCTAAACATTAGATAAGCAAGCTCAAATACATTTGGAAATACATTGTCACAGATGAATTGTGTACTAAGTTGATATTTTTAAAAGATGATATTCATAAACAAGTACTAATACTTGACTTTCATTCATCTTTTTTTGAGATTTGAGGGTTTTATCCTTTTAAAAATGTTTTAAATTTATTATAAATGACAACAGAATGCATTACAATCCATATTACACATATAGAGCAAAATTTTTCATATCTCCGTATGCACAGTAGAGTCACATCCTTCTTGTCTTCTTACATGTACTTAGGGTAATGATGACCATTGCATTCTACCATCTTTCCTACCCTTATGCCCCTCCCTTCCCTTTTCCCCTTTACCCCATCTAGAGTTCATTTAATCTCCCCCTTACTGGCCTCCCAGCATATTATGGATCATCCTTAAATCAGAGAAACCATTCAGCATTTGATGTTTTGGGATTGGCTAATTTCACTTAGTATTATATTCTCCAGCTTCATCAATTTACTTGCAAATGCCATGATTTTATTCTCTTTTAATGCTGAATAATATTCCATTGTGTATATATACCACGTTTCCTTTATCCATTCATCTACTGATGGGCATCTAGGTTGGCTCCACAGTTTAGCTATTGTGAATTGTGCTCTATAAACATTGATGTGGCTGTGTCCCTGTAGTATGCTGTTTTTAAGTCATTTGGGAACCACCATTTGACCCAGCTATCCCACTCCTTGGTCTATACCCAAAGGACTCATTCATCTTTTTTAGTCTTCAAAATCTCATAAAGACCAGATATCCCAAGACTCTCGGATTTAATAAGCCAGAATTCATTTGATAATCTTTACTGAGTAATTAGTATGTATCAGGCACCAATTTAGGCAATGGGTATCCAGCACTTAGAGAAAAGAAAAATAACAACAACTATGTTTTCAAGGAGCTTACACACTCAAACTACTGTTTTACAGTAAAATGCAGCAAAGACACTGTGAATACTAAAAGTCATGAAAGCAACCATAAGAGCAGTAAAGACAAATAAGCATTTTACATGTCTTCCTTACCATGCATCATTGTCTTTTATGAGGACACCTAAAGCAATCGTCTAATTCACATAGGATTAAACTAAGTTCTATAATTTTAAAATAGTTTAAAAAATTTGTATTTAACAAATGCATGTTCCTTCAAAGTTATTTGAAAAAGGAATATTGAGGAATGAATTCCTTTATAGTTAAAGCATAACATTCATTTACATTCTTTTCCTGTCTTTTACTAAATCTTATGAATGAGGAAATATCAGTGGCTATTGGTGACTTACTCAAAATATATTTAATTTGTATTTTCAATGACAATTGCAGATCAAATAAATAGTTAAGAAAATGTCAACAGTCTTTGACATTTGATAGACATAAATTTATCATAGAGACAAATATTCTAACAGAACATATATAACAATGTTCTTTACTTGTCCAGTCTATTGAATAGTTCACAAC